ATTATCTACTCTAATCGATTCAACACGATACTACATGATACTACATGATACTACTGAAAAGTATAAATGAAACTACATGATACTTAGTGACCCTACATGACACCTAATGGCACTACGCGACATTGCACGACACCACGAGACGTTGCAGAAATCCGTGTGACTCTACATAAAAGTACATCGTGACCCTTCGCCGCTGGAAGGGGTTTAAAGATCGACATGCAATAAGTAGGACACGCCTCAGTGACCACCCACCTAAAAGCCGCCCACCGATTTTGCTTGATAATATAGTTTGAGGTTCTGATTTCACAAATCACGTGATTACATGACCCCCCCCCCCCCCCCCCCCCGTGCACACACTCCTGATAATGATAGTATGGAAGAAGTCCTCACCCAGAGAGAGGATGTTTGGGGTCGAAATGGTTCAGAAAGAATGACAGAGTCGAAAAACTGTTTTCACGCAACTTTTACGCTCAGCGTTTCGCTTTAGACTCGCTTGAGATAAATCGTTTTTGTCACCTTCCTTAGGGTATCTTTACATTTCACATTCATTTGATCCCATTTGACGCCAGGTTTCCCCTAACATCGATATCTAAACTTCAGCGGTCACAAACTATTGAAAAAGTTTTCAATTATTATAGCTTTACTAACACCTGTCGTGGTACTGTGTGAAGTAAGAGGCGACTAAAGGTACGTAGGTCAGGTAAAATCTTTAATTAAAAGTTACAAAAACACTTATATTGATTTTTCGATCTTGGGAAACAAAGGGCTTCTGTACCAGCTGGGTAGTTGGATGGCACCTATGGTAGGTCCTACTTCTTTTCTATCCCTGTTATTTTCTCTGTCTGTCTGTCCTGCTTTTTCCCAGCACTAAATGGCCACTATTGTGTCCCTGTGCGTGTCTTTACTCCAACTCAAACGCATCAGAAGGACTAATTAAGGACAGTGGCCAAAGCCAAAAGGCCTTTCCCGACCCGAAACCTTCTATGTCGATCAAGGGTAACGCCCCTTGGAAGCTGGAAAAAAGGAACAGAGAATGATGTACAGAAATGTAGGAATTAAAGACTTTAATTAATAATATCAAGAGGCAAACCCAGGGTAGGGAAGGTTGAAAAGTGTTTGTGGCCTCTACCCTGGTGCAAGATGAGAAAGGCAGTGATGGTGATGATGATGATGATGATGGTGGTGGTAATGATGACATTTATACTCAATTTACGTTTGGTGCCTCAACCAAATTTATATATTAACAGGGGAAAAATATGAAATTGTAAAAATCGCCAGTCCCGCGTAACATCAAAAGTAGGCCTAATAAGTACATAAACATGTGTTCAATATCACCTGCATTGTCGTTTCACACTGCTTCTAGCACGTAGATATACACGCTTCTCCTTCTTCTTTAGGTGTCAGGTCTAGATCAAACATTGATGATCATAATAGGCATACCCAACTCTTCCCTGTTGTCTGTTTTCCTGATCAGCTCTGTTTTCTCATCGTGTTATTTGCTGAGTGAGGCGCAGATGCGCTTCAGAAAAGAGAGAGGGTGCACAGGTGCTATCTTCGCTCTTAGACAACTGAATGAAAAGACAATTGCATTCAACAAAGAACTGAATCTTGTGTTTGTAGACCAGGAAAAAGCGAATAGATAGAAACAAACTGTGGCAAATACTTGAAGAGTACAGCATTAGGGGACAATTGTTGGACAACGTCAGAGCCATCTATACCAACAGTATGAGCACAGTCCGCACCCAACAAGGACTCACTGACTGGTTCGACGTGTCATCTGGAGTGAGACAAGGGTGTATGTCATCACCGCTACTTTTCATAATATACATGGGACAAAATTACAAAAGAATGCTGTTTGCGGACGATCAAAGCCTGTCCTCCACTACATTCGAAGGAAAACAATCAGGTGGTTAGGGCATCTCACACGTATGACACCTCACCAGCTTGCCAGTAAAGCCTACTACAGAAAATTATCAGGGTACAATGAAAGAGGAAGACCAAAAAAGACCTGGATCCAGGGTGTGAAGGATACCCAGAGAACATACAATATCCCACTCAGCCAAGCCATCAAACTTGCTAGGGACAGTGAGCTCTTTCTCTCCTCGACGCCCCAAAGGTACAAGAGGACGGAAAAAGTAAAGTAAGTAAAAGTTATTTGTTGCAAAGTCACTAAAGATGTGCAGGTTGTGCACACACATACATACAGAAAGAAAACCCCCAAACAGAATCTATAGGAGAAGTGCGATCTGGTGCGGCATTTGCAAAAGGAAACCGAAGCCAGGAGGATCATACGAGACATTTGTACCAAAAAAGTACACGTCTTTGGACTGGACCCCCAGTCTGCTTTGTTGTCTGCTCAGGTGTTTTGAGGGTGTTAACGAAGTCAAGACTGGGAACCTGATTTTTACAGCGGTTTATTTTTATGTCCAAACTTTACTCATATGCCCCATTACAAGTCAGAGGAAACTCTGAGCATGGTAAATATAGCATTTATATCATTATGTTGGTGGCCATCTCACTTTTGATGATTCTGGGCGCTTGCCAGCGGGCTGAGGCAAATGCTACTGGTAGGTTCTTGCTGCTTAGATGTAGATGTAAAGACTGATCTGCCAAGGTCTGTAATCTGTATAAAAGATGTTTCCAAACATCTAGAGACGCATTTCTCTAAAACAATAACTTGCTGTAAAGTGTTTGAGAACAATTAATCCAATAAGGATATTATAGATGGTGCACATGATCTGAATGTCCTTGGTAACTGCAAATTTAGATAATTTTTTTGGTGGCATTGATCAAAGTTTTTCAGTATAATCCACATGGAAATGTTTATTTTTAATTGTCATAAAAGATGTTGAGCCAGAACAAAAAGTAAATGCCCAACGGCCAGAAAAATACTGGTGTCTTTCATTTCATAATTTTAACGAGCGCCTGATTTCACTACTGATAAAGGTATGCCATCCTCAAGTATGAGGGTTAACTCAGGTGGTGTAGTATACTACATGTACATCTAAACAGAAAGACGGAGATGCTCGAAAAGATGTTCCATTTGCAGGAATGGAGATCCCCTCTTTAATAAACAGATAAGTTTTATCATTACCTGACAGATGCAGAGAGAGGGGGGAGGGACAGAGAGAGAGAGAGAGAGAGAGAGAGAGAGAGAGAGAGACCGAGAGAGAGACAGAGAGAGACAGGCAGACAGATAAAGAGAGACAGACAGAGAGACAGAGAGAGAGATAGAGAGAGAGGCAGAGAGAGAGAGAAAGAGGGAGAGAGAGAAAGAGAGATAGAGAGAAAGACAGAGAGAGAGACAGAGATAGAGAGAGAGAGAGGGGAGGGAGAGATAGAGAAGGTTATGAACCACCATTAAGTTTACTGTCATTTCTAAGCATTTAACTTGCAGGCCTGTTTGATACGTAACACTCATCATTATTAAAACCGCGGTAACTACAAAAGCTCCAGCTAATTATTTTTAAAAGTCATGATCGACACATCGTTATGGTCTACGTCTAGCAAAGATGTTTTTATGCGTTATATTACACCTTTAGAAAAAGTAGCTGCTCCACCTGCTGATGAGCAGTAACACTATTCCATAAAACCCCTATAAGGGAAGAAAAGTCCTTAAAAATAGTTTTTGAACAATTGAATAAAACAACAAACATAAAAACCACAACCGTTACGCCCACGTTTCTCCACAAAGAGAGAGGTGGGGGGGTATATCCAATTTTAGGAAGAGCTTGGGGACACTTGCAACACAATACTTACGTCATTTAAGTGCCGAAGACTAGAAATGTTACAAGAGAGTAACAAACACAAAAAAGAAGGAGAGATCAGGACGACAAGTTTGATAGGAACGAAGCACCAGAGCACCCACCAACCATCCGCGAAGGGGCATGTTAAGTTTCTGTCTTCTTCACATAGAGAATTAAAAAAGAGGAGAGATAAGCAAATGCTGTTCTGTTTATCTTGATTGCTGGGCTCTTCACCCTTGCACGCAAAAGATGTGAGTTCGATTCTCACAGGAGGAAAGCTATTGTGCTTTATGCTGTATTCAGCTCAGCCTGGACTGGCCCTAACAACTGGAAGCTGCCCACCTCCTTAGAAACGACCTAAAGATTGTCGATTGGGCTGTATGTAATACAATTACACAAACATACACACACACACAAACACACACACACACACACACACACACACACACACACACACACACTCACACACACCAAACAGTGTCACATCAACCGGATATTGATTGTACGTCCACCTGAGTGTCTGTATAGTGAGGCATCGTGGAGAAATCAGGCACTCGTCAAAATAATGAAACCAAAGAAAACGGCATTTTTATGGCCGCGGATCATTTATTCCTAATTTTTTCTCTCAACACCTTTTATGTTCACTTGTAGACATTTTTCTATATATGGATTTTACTGAAAACCTTGACGAAATTAATGTACAAAAATGTAAACTTGCATTCTTTAAGGACTCTGAAGTCACCAAGCTTTGGCTGCAATTTCTTGCTAATTTTACACTTCTGATACCCAGGCAGGCAATCCCCATCTCCCAAAATTGCAAATATCTCGACTTCTATTCATGATAGATGGGTTGTTTTGTTGTTGTTCTTGTTGTGTGTGTGTGTGTGTGTGTGTGTGTGTGTGTGTGTGTGTGTGTGTGTGTGATTTATATGCAGGGAAAGGGAGACGGTCTAGTGCACAATTTTGTTTTCATAAGAATTAACACCCAACTAGATAGTTAATATGTCTGTACAAAGGCTGAGTAAAGAAAAAGGAAGACGGAAAGAAAGAAGGCTGAGTCTACTCCAGAATTGCAGGAGACACTCGTAAAAGTAAATGAGTGGAAACATAGACTTTGCAGGCTGTACTGAGACAACTGTGCGAGTGGTTATTATGGATTTTCTTCTTTTTTTTCCATTTACTTTTGTCTGTCTATAATATTGCTTTTTCTCCACATTAAATGACCGTGATCATATGGATTATTTTAAATACCAAAGTCTAACCTGATGAGGGATTCTGCCTAGAGTAGAGATAATAGACGTGACACTATGGTATCAAAGTCCATCTCCTAAAAGAAAGGAATGGAACCGGAGTGGCGAGGGTAGTGAAAAAGATCACAAAGTTCCTCCTGGCCTCGGAGCTCAAAGTGGTCAGAGGCATTGTGGAGAATATATATCAGTTATCGAACTGGTAGCATGCCCGAAATCTAAAAGAGAATGTGATATCTGGATACCTGGAGGTGTCTTCTCTGACTCAAAGGCTGATGTGTAATGACCGTTGCGATGGGCCGTTGCACATTCTGCCATATCCAGGCCAGTGCATGTATTTATGTTGTCCATCCAAGTTACTCTTTGTCTTCGTCTCCCCCCTGGGTCTTCTGCCCCACATCATTTCTTCAAGCACATCATTTACAATGGTCTCGCGTCGCGGCCATAGTATTGTTCCATCAGTTTTGGCCATTTTACGACAGCACTCCATTTCAAACGCAGCTATTTTGAGATAATGTGTGTATATATGTCACATTGACAGGTCCCATTAATTGGTACCAAAAGCACCAGAACTGTGGCGGGAAAATGCAGTCCCCGATCGACATCAGCACGAAGAATGTGGTGCATGACCCCTTCCTTGAACTTTTTAACCTTACCGAGTACGAGAAGACTTCCGGTGTCATCATGCACCTGGCCAACGTTGGGGGCCACACAGGTAACTCTGGGAAAACTTGAAGTTTGCACTTCCTTCCCGATCTCAATAGATAAAACACAACCCTAAATAATCTAAACATACGTACAACAAGGTGTTTCGAAGACAGCGCTATGGGAGGCAAATCTTGAAGCGTAAATATTCCACTACGGTACCAATATTTGAGAACCCTAGACGTCCACGGGATGATCTCAGAAGTGCGACATGACAGTGATTGTCCGTCTGGAGACAGTACATACAATTGAAATGTGGTTGTTCGTAAATTTCTTTTCCTTTTGTAGAAGTATTTATCTGTAAATTTGTCGTTTGAGAAATAATCAACCTGGAGGGGGCGTAGAAAATCATTCCTCATAGGACAAGAAATGTTCTACTCCCAGTTTGATTCGAACCTCGAACCTTCACGAGGTAGCCAAGTTTCTTTCAGCGACTGCAGCGCTACGACTGGTAAGATGAAAGTCAACTAAAATATTATGAACAAATGGATTTAATTGTTGTCATTCCCTGATGACAACTTACGCGTTGAAAATGCTATAGACCTACCTTTATTCATAGGAAGAGATCTTTCCTATCCGTGTGAGGGTTCAGTGGGTGCAAAAACTGCATAATAGAAATATACAAAAGGAACTTTCAATTTCGATATTTAAAGACATCACATCTGTCTGGAGATGTTACGAAATTATTATAATAGCTCGCACAAAGTAAGTTGGAATTGAAAATGAATAAAACCTTTTATTTATTGTTTTAGTTTTCTTTTTGTAGCAACGTGGATGAAAATTTGAACAGCATAACGTAAACTTTTGACACGCCTATTTGTGTATCTCTTGGTCACATTTCGCTTTTCCTGTTTTATGTGTTTGTCCCAAAGAGAAGACTGTATCACAAATTTTAACAATAATAATATATTATAAACAATTCCAAATTATACTCCCCCCCCCTGTCCCTGCTCCATTCCTCCTTCCCCTCCCCCATTCTCGCAGCCCGCGTTCTGTATTCCGGCACTGCCGTGTACATCCGAGGCGGTAGTCTCCCAGACAAGTACCAGCTGGACCAGTTCCACTTCCATTGGGCGAAGGAAGACCTGACGGGGTCTGAGCACTCTGTGGATTGGAAGCATTACCCTCTGGAGGTGAGAGAGAGAGGGGGGGAGGAGAGTGGAGA